GAAAAGGACAGTGAGAATAGCAGCACAACTGGAAGAATGTAATCGATGTCACTAAATTGTACATGTAGAAACTTTTGAAATGGTGTAATTTGGCTGGGTATATTTTCACCAAAAAAAGGTCCTCCAAGGTCGAGAAGGGAGAGTGTTGACATGTTGTGGGGTTGTTAACCAATGTCATAAAACAATATGTGTACTGACTATTCTATGAGAAACTTTGTTTTGTAAAACTTCATCTAAAGTACAATAAAAAAATTTAAAAAAAAAGAAATCAAAGGACGTATTGCATTGGGCAAATCTGCTGCCAAGGACCTTTTAAAGTGTTAAAAAGCAAAGATGTCACTTTGAGGACTAAGGTACACTGGACCCAAGCCATGGTATTTTCAGTCACCTCATATGCATGTGAAAGCTGGACAATGAATAAGGAAGACCGAAAAAGAATTGATGCATTTCAGTTATGGTGTTGGCGAAGAGTATTGATTATACTGTGGACTGCCAGAAGAACGAACAAATCTGTGTTGGAAGAAATACAGCCAGAGTGCTCCTTGGAAGCAAAGATGGTGAGACTTCGTCTCACATATTTTGGACATGTTATCAGAAAGGACCAGTCCCTGGAGAAGGACATCATTCTTGGTAAATTAGAGGGTCAGTGAAAAAGAGGAAGACCCTCAATGAGATGGATTGACACAGTGGCTGCAACAATGGGCTGAAACATAACAACGATTGTGAGGATGGCGCAGGACCCCGCAGCGTTTTGTTCTTTTGTACAGAGGGTTGCTATGAGTCAGAACCGACTCACCAGCACCTAGCAACAACAACAACTCCTTCTCCCGCAGAGCCACCGGGTGGATTCAAACTGCTAACCTTTCAGTTAGCAGCCAAGCGCTTAACTGTTGCACCACCAGGGTTCCTTAAATACTATCCGTAATAGTTCACTAAATATTTCTTCAGTTTAATTAATTCAAAACTGCCTTCTAGTGGATCCTTGCAAAATCAGCCATATGCACAGAAAGCAGCCTGCCCAGGGCTAACTCGTCCTCCTTGCCAACACTGGCTTGCTGCGCTGGGCTCAGCAGCTGCCCCTTGGCCCCACATACCGTGTTGACCCCAGAGAACTGCTGGCCGGCCATCAGCACAACGATGGTGATGAGCTGCCACCTCAGTGACCGGAACGTGAAGAGGTTGAGCACAGACAGGCGGCCCTCGGCCTTCTCGGCCTGGTCCTCCAGACACATTTCCTCTATCTCATCCTCCACCTCGGCCCAGCTGCACAGTGTCCTTAGAGCTGTGGGAGAACAGAGTGCATCCCCCACCGCGGCCCCGTCTCCCCCATAGCAGCTTTATCGGAGGTTAAGGACAAACGGGGATGGCTCCCCCTCACCTCTGCCTGCCTTCCCACCCTGGGCACAGGCTGCCTGGCCATCTTCCCAGTGTTAAGTGCTCGCCTGACCCTGACTAGGCCCCAATGCTGTGACCATGTCCCCAACTGCACCGTACCCCACCCTGATCAGACTCTCTGCTCTCAACACACTGACCAACTCTGATCGGACTCTAAATCTCAGCCAAGCTCCAGCCAGACCCCAGCCCGCAGCTACTGACCCCAGCCATGGACGCCCCTTCCACCCCCAATGCCCTTCCACCTGCCCTTCCACCCTCCATGGGCCTGCATCTCCTGCATACACACCCCAGCCCATTCTCTGCTCTGAGCAGGATTGGGGAGGGACAGGTTGGCAGGTGTGGGGGCAGGGTGGGGGAAGGGAAGGCACAAGAGGGCTCTGGCAGAGCAGTCTGCATCACAAGTACCTCGTCTCGCTGTTCCCTCGTTCCCTCGTCTCTCCGTTCTCAATCAGGTGTAGCAAGGGCTTTCGGGGTGGGGGGGAGGGGCAGGGACAGGAGTTGAAGCAGCGCGGGGATCCCTATGATGGCCAAGAGCACAGGCCAGCCTAAAAGGAACCAACACCATGAACTTGAGACCCTGGCCGGCCAGGGGACCCTGGGCCTCCAGGCACCCTTTGTTGACCTTCTGCCAGAACTCTCTCCCTTTAGAAGGTCACTCACCTGCGGTATCTCAGCCCTCAGTGAGAACCAAGGACAGTAGGGACATAGTCCTTGCCAAGATGTGGCTGCCCCGGGGCCCACCCACAAAGGGGTTCCGCATTAAAGATGGAAAAAATAATTATAATTGAAAAAAATATATTGGCTATTAATTCATTTTGCAAGAAGAGCATTACTTTTCTTGGGAATAGTGTATGGTTTATCAGTTTGAGCCCTAGAGAAAGTGAAGCCGCGTCTTGCTCCAATGTTATGATTGGAGAGGGAGATGGTCCCAGCTCTGTGACTGTGTGAGCTTTGGCTTTCAGCTCTGGCAGGTTTGGATTTAAGAAGGTGTACTGAGATTTGACCAAGAGCACAGATCTGCACATACTACCTCCAACTGCGCTAGCCAGGATGTGAACTGGACAGGTGATTTCACCTCTCTAAGCCTCACTCTTCTCATCAGTAAAATAAAGATGATGATAATAATAGTAAATATCACAGAAGAAGTGGAGGGACTGGAAGAGACTACACTCACTAAGCACACAATACCAGTTGCCATTGAGTTGACCCTGACTCATGGCAACTCCATGTGTGTCAGAGTAGAATTGTACTCCATAAGGTTTTCAAATGAGAGAGATATATATATGTGTGTGTGTGTATATACATGTATATATATGTATACATGTACATACACATATATGTATATATGTATATACGTATATATGTATTTAATAAATTTATGTATATATGTGTATATACATATTTGTATATATGTATATGTATACATATATACATATATGTATACATATACACATATATATACACACCCTCCCCCCCACAAAATGCGAACCTGTTGTCATTGAGTCTGACTCAGTGACCCTGCAGGACAGAGTAGAACTGCCGGGTGGGGTTACCAGGGCTGTAAATCTTTATGGAAGCAGACTGTTAAACATCTTTCTCCCACAGAGCAGCTGGTGGGTTTGAACTGCCAATGTTTCGGTTAGCAGCCAAGTGCTTAACCACTGCACCACCAGAACGCCTGTATATATATGTATATGTATATATGTATGTATGCTGTTAGTTGCTGTTGAGTCACTTCCTACTCATGGCAACCCTGTGTGTGCAGAGTAGAACTGCTCCGTAGGGTTTTCAAGGCTGTGACCTTTCAGAAGCAGATCACCAGACCAGTCTTCCAAGGAGCCTCTGGGTGAGTTTGAACCACCAACCTGTCCACGTAACCGTGTGTGCCACCCAGGGACTTCACAGAGTTTTCAATGTCTGATTTTTTAGAAGTAGATTGCCAGGCCTTTCTTCCCAGGAGCCTCTGGGTGGATTTGCACCTCCAACCTTTTGGTTAGTAGCTGAGCGCCTGACTGTTTGCACCACTCAGGGACTCTGAAGCATGTACTGCTTGGTGGCTATTAGCAGCAACAGTCCAGTCTGGCTTTCATTCACATCTTCTGGGGTTGAAGCCTCTCTCTCGCTGATTTGGAGTGTCTAATAGTCAACTGCATGGGCACAGTTTGGGAATCATTATCCCTAATGAGCTTCCATTGGGCAGCCACTGGGTTCCAAGGCTCTGAGTCTCCTCAAGGAACTGAGGGGACTGCACAGACATTGATGGGTCTATTAAGGAAATTTGTGAAATTTAGGTAATTTGAAAATATTTATAAAAAAAGAAAACAACCACTATGTTCAGGAGGGCCTTAAAGCCGGCCTGCATTCAAGCTCTATATCCTGGTCCCTTCTCTCGCCCAAGTCCCTATTTCACACTATTTCATACTTTCTCCTCTCTCCTCCTGCCTCCACTCTCAGGCGATGACCTTGCTTTTGTCTACAAGTGCCACTTCCACCCATGTGACAGTAACGGTGGCTGTGTTACCTGCTTGCTCCTGCGTAGTTCTCCCTTGCTATTGGATCACTCCTAGGGCTTAAGCGCTCAATTAGGTTGGCAATTAGGACCTACCCAGTGGCTCTATGGGAGAAAGACCTGGCGATCTGCTTCTATAAAGATTACAGCCTAGAAAACCCTACGAGGCAGTTCTACTCTGTCACATGGGGTCAGTATGAGTTGGAATCGACTCGATGCCACCGAACAACAACAACAGGACATTCAAGTTTGCTGCTATTTCTCTCAGTTGGAAAGAAAAATCCCTCCTTTCTCAACCTCACTGCCCCTCCAGGTACCGCCCCACTTCTCTCCTTCCCTTTATAGCCAAGCTCCTAAGAGTTGTCTATACCACCTGTCTCCTGTTCTCCTCCCATGGGCTCTTGAACCCTCTCCAAGCGTGTTTTGCCCCATTGCCCTACCAGAACTGTACTTGTCATGGTCACCAGTGTCCACCAAGGTCCAGATGCCTGATCTGAGGGTCAACTCTCAGTCCTCACCTGGCTTGACCCATCCACAGCACCAGGCACAGCTGGAGGAGGGACTGACCCAGTACGCCTGTGGTTCTGGTATATTCCCCTGTCCTGCCCACTCACTGCTCCCCCACCCCGGCCTGTGTACGCTGCTGGTTGGTTACCTGCGGGATTCCCCAGGATGGCCTGCAGGCTGAAGAGCTGAGCTAGGATAATTCCAATGATGATAAAGACCTCGTTCATTGTCCCCAAGGCACCCCTCAGGTTCTTGGGACCCAGTTCTCCCAGGCACATGGGAAGAGCACCGTAGGCTATGCCTGGTTTGGGCAAAATAAAATCAGAAGAGGAAAGAACAACCCCCACCTCCTGTGACCTGGAGCCTGAGACTTAATTCAATTCCATTTCATAATCCCTGAGCTTCTCAGTGGGATTAGCCCTCACTGGCAGTGTTATGGATTGAATTGTGTTACCCCTCCAAAAAATATGTGTTGAAATCCTAACCTCTGTACCTAAGATGTGGATATGACTCTGCTTGAAAATAGGTTTTTCTTTGATATTAATGAGGTCATACTAGTATAGGGTGGGTCCTAAACCTAATTACTTCTGAGTTACAAGAAGAGCAGATTAGACACAGAGACACGGGGAAGACAGATGCCAAGGAACACAAAGTCTGGCCAGCAGATGCCAGAAACTCCGAGAGAGGCCTTCAGAAATAATTGACACAGCCGAGACCCTTTTAGCCTCTAGAACTGTGAGAAAATAAATTTCTGTTCTTTAAAGCCAACCACGTGTGGTATTTCTGTTACAGCGACACTAGGAGACAGATAGGCAAGAGCCTACCCAGCACCCTTGCCTCCCTTCATGTCCAGTCTTATCTGCTTAGCTTGAGCTCATAAGGAAACCCCTTCAGAATGCTCAGACCGCCTAGGAACATCCCGGACATGACAAGACTATCCATACCTTCCTTGTCACAGAGTGGGGTTGTTTGTGGCAGGGGACGATCTGAGACCACTGTGTGTCTCTGAGGGGTGGGACTTAAAGGCATCTGTTTCACTTGGGTTTATTCTAAACCATATATTACTTGCATAGCTTTTTGTTTTTTAATAGGTGAATCTACTGTAGTTAAGAAACCTCACTTGCTGGCTGATCAAGGCCCCAGATTCTGTATTTCTTTTGCTTGAAGACCTTAATTCTCAGTTTAAAATGGACATCCTTCTCAGCAGATACCTTGTAAAGCCTTTTCAGTTGTTTACACCTCAAGTTAAAAGTGTATTTTTTTGTTTTTTGGGTTTTTTTTTGGCCTAAAATAACAAAACCCCCAAACCAAACCTGTTTCTGTTGAGTCAATTCTGACTCATGGCAACCCTGTGCGTTACTCAGTAGGACTGCTCCTTAGGGTTTCCTTGGCTGTAATCTTTACAGAAGCAGATTGCCAGGCCTTTCTTCCTCAGCACTGCTGGGTAGGTTCAAACTGCCAAACTTTAGGTTAGTAGTCAAGTGCAAACCATTTGTGCCCCCAGGGACCCTTATAATAAGAAGTTACTATTTCTTATAGCCCCTGGGTGTCGCAAATGGTTTGCCCTCAGCTGGTAACCAAACGGTTGGCGGTTCAAACCCACCCTGCAGCACTATGCAACAGAAGAAAAGGCCTGGCAATCTGCTTCCATAAAGATTACAGCCAATGTGGGGACAATAGTCTCAGGGAACATCTAGCTCAATTGGTATAACATAGTATATAAAGAAAATGTTCTACATTCTACCTTGGTAAGTAGTGTCTGGGGTCTTAAAAGCCTGTGAGCAGCCATCTAAGATACTCCACTGGTCTCACCCCTTCAGGAGCAAGAGAAGATGAAGAGAACTAAAGACACAAGGGGAAGATTAGTCCAAAGGACTAATGGACCACAACTACCACGGCCTCCACCAGACTGAGTCCAGTACAACTAGATGGTACCCGGCTACCACCACTGACTGCTCTGACAGGGATCACGATAGAGGGTCCCGGACAGAGCTGGAGAAAAATGTAGAACAAAATTCTAACTCACAAAAAAAGAGCAGACTTATTGGCCTGACAGAGACTGGAGAAACCCTGAGAGTATGGCCCCCAGACACCCTTTTAGATCAATAATGAAGTCACTCCTGAGGTTCATCCTCCAGCCAAAGATTAGATAGCCCTGTAAAACAAAACGAGAGTAAAGGGGCACACCAGCCCAGGGACAAGGACTAGAAGGCAGGAGGGGACAGGAAAGCTGGTAGTAGGGAACCCAAGGTCGAGAAGGGAGCATGTTGACATGTTGTGGGGTTGTTAACCAATGTCATAAAACAATATATGTACTAACTGTTTAACGAGAAGCTAGTTTGTTCTGTAAACCTTCATCTAGGGTACAATTTAAAAAAAAAAGACTGGAAAAAAAAAAAAAAAAGATTACAGCCAAGAAGACCCTGTGGAGCATGGGGCTGCCATGAGTTGGGATCAATTCGACAGCACAAAACCACAACAACCTTCTTCTTCTGGATTCTGAACTTTGCTGGGCAGCTCCAACCCTGAGGTTTCCCACGGGCTCGCTCGGGCAGCTGTAATCAGCCAGAGGGCCGGCTGGGCCAGAAGGTCCAAGATGGCTCCCTCTCCCATTTGCAGGGCTGGGTGTCGCTGGTTGCCTCAGTTCTCCACGTCCGCTCTCATCCTCTAGTAATCTAGACCAGCTTCCTCACATGGTTGTCTTAGGGCAAGCTTCCAAGAGCTAAAAGTGTGTTTTTAAATATCCCTCCCTGATAAAAGGTTTCGTTAAGCAAAAGGAAGGGCATGCAGTTCACAGGGACTGAGGACCGAGACTGGAGGCTGCCCTGGAAGCAGAAAGAGCCAGACTGAGCCGGGAGAGCCGAAAGGAGACCACCTCTCACCAGTCCTGGTTCCAGCCTCGGCCAATGGGGTTGTGCGTATCTGTCTAGATCCCCCCACCAACGTGAACCTGAGCACAGGCTAGGTGTCAGCTGTTACCCCAGGTACCTGCACAGATGCCCAGCATCACTTGAGAAAAGATGATCAGCTCAAAAGCCTTGGCCACTTTGCTGACTCCCATGAGGATGGCGGGGACGATGGTGAAGAAGTTGTTGATTAAGAGGGTCCCCTTCCTGCAACAACAGCAGAGGGCAAGGGGCTGAGGTGGCAGGGGCTCCCCTGACACCAACTCATATTCTCTGAATCAGTCATTTAGAGGTGATGGGAATGTGCCTGAGAAAGGGATGATGGATGGGGAGACAGAAAGCAAGGACAAATGGGCCGAAGTTCCAGGAAGGAAGATTTGGGATGAGGGGAAAGCATTCTAACAATCAGCAAGGAAAAAGGAGGTAGAGAGCTCCCTATCACTGGTGGTATTCAGGCAGAGGCAAGACTAGAAGACCATTGTCAGGAATGTTGAACAGAGGATTCCTGTATCAGGTGGGGAGTTAGACTAGATGGTCTCTAAGGTCCCTTCCAACGTGAAAATGAAGGTGAGGGTTTGAGTATGTGAAAATAGCACTACGCTGGTGATTCACCCCCCTTCTCCTCCTCGCTCTATGCCCCCCGTGCTGACTTGCATCAGTGGCTCCATTGCCCCTTCTCCCTCACCTTTGGCTTGGATTTTGCCAAAGGAGAAGATCAGCAGTGGGTCAGAATGAGGGAAGGGAGCCCCTTTGCTGTGGGTGGCGGTGGCTGGCTGGTATCCCCACAGCTCTCTTGGCCCCCAGGAGCTGGTAACTGCTTCTCCCTCGGCCCCTCCAGGTTGAAGGTATACAGCTGTCAGCAGCCCCAGTTCACTGCAGTGTCCTTTGGGATTTCTTCACAATGCCCAGACCTGTGAGTGCTACCAGGACCCGACTGATACAGGTGCACTAAGTCGGCCACGCCACTTGGGGGGGCTCTGGTGCCAGGAGCCGGGCCAGTGGGATCTCTAAACAGAAACCCAGAAACCGATCCAGCTGACTGGGTTACACAAGGGCTCCCCAGACAATCAGCAGAGAAGTAGCCTGGCTTCCTTGGGTCTGTTTTCTCTCCCTGGGGCCGCAGAGCTCACGCTAGCCCTGAGGCCCACCCCTCAGCCTTCCTGACCCCCAGGAACCCAGTTGGCCTCAGGGAACCAAGGACTTTCAGACCCACAAGGACAAGGCTGGCTTCATTGTGCATCCTGGGCCTTAGCCACCTCGTCTGCAAAACGAGGAGGTAATAAGAACAGTCTGAGGTTCCTCAGTGGCAGAGGTTCTGTGGCTGTGGGGTTCAAGAAGGGAAGTGGAGGCCAAGACTGGGCTTCTAGAACATTCCGACACTCCAGATGGCCTCAATGAGAGCAGCATAGTCCAAATTAGTAAAAAGCCTGAATTATAAAATAATTACAACATACTGAATGTTTTCTTCATTCAAGTACACTAGCATGGCAAATTAACTGTTAAGTATTTAGAAGAAGAGGTCCTATGTGACCTGCTTCCATAAATAATTAAATTTCAATTGGCAGTAGTTTCTTTTGTGCGTGAAAATGGAATGTGCTGAGGTTCTTTAAAAGTTCATTTTCTTTTGAGGGCTTTTCACTCCCTCCTAGAAATTGCCTGACTTGGCACATCCAAGTCCAGGTGACTGTGAATTCTAAATAGGTGGGGCCTGGAGGAAGGAAATCTGCTGGGCCAAGCCCTGTGACTGGGCTCACGCTTTTCCTTCTCGGGAACCTTGGCCTGTGCATCAGTCCTTATCTGTGGAGGCACAGCCCTGGAGCACCTGGGCTTAAGCTTGAAGATCAGTGGATCTATGGAAGCCAAGCAAAGTACAAAGGACTATTCATATCCAAACAAGATATGGAATGGTGGCACATGGAGTGACTCTGCCTGAACTCCAAACCTCAGGACAACAGAACTCTGATAAGATCCCTGGGGGAGAGGCTGCCTGCCACTGTGACAGCCTAGAGCCCTGAGCACCTGACCTCCGAATCAAGTCCAATCAACAAGGGTTTATTCAACACCTGCTAGAAGTGCTTACAAGGCACTGTGGTAAGCACGGTCAAGAACTTTGATCTCAAGGGCTGTATCATCTGTATGGGGTAGATGATGGGCGAGAACCCTATTCCCATGCAACTGAATGTTGTTTTTGTTAGCTGCTGTCGAGTCCCCCAACTCATGGTGACCCGATGCACAATGGGACCAGACTGCTGTGATCTGTAGGATTTTCATTGGCTGATTTTCAGAAGTAGATCACCAGACCTTTCTTCCTGGTCTATTTTAGTCTGGAAGCTCTGCCGAAACCTGTTTAGATCACAGCAAAACACAGGCCTCCACTGATGGATGGGTGATGGCTGCACTTGAGGTGCGTTGGCCAGGAATTGAACCCGGGTCTCCCACATGGAAGGTGAGAATTCTACCACTGAACCACCACTGCCCTCATATGCGACTGATCAGGGAAAGAAGTCCCAGGAGAATTCAGGGACTTGCTTTAAGGTCATGATGTCATGGCAAAGTGGGGACCAGACTTCAGACCCCTGATCTTCAGGGTTGTACTGTCTTCCCATCACGTGCCAGTCACCAGGAGGTGTGGTTTACTAACGTGAACTTTAAAGGAGCAGCGTGCCTCCTGCTTGCTTACCTGCCGCACTTAACAACCAGCAGGCCAATGACCAGTGACCCCAACAAGCCGCCCAGCGGAAACATGGACACAGTGCAAGACCACAGGAGCAGCATGACATTCTCGTCCATGAATGTCCCGTGCCGCTCGAAGTAGGTTTCATTATAAAATGACTTCGAGACCTGGAAAACATCATCCCATCCCCAGCAAAGAGTACTGTGCAGCTCACAAGAAATCATGGCCTAAATGTTCTCATTGTATAGAAGGACATTTCTGTCAATACCCCCCAGGACTCATTTGAACCTGCTGCTTCTCGGCTCTTACCTGAGTTGAAAAATCTACTGTACGATGGTTGAGGTGAGGAGCCAGACTGCACGAAATCTTTTTCAGAGCCTTACCCTGCAAGAAGCAACCTAAGAAATATTCTTACTAAGTGTATAACTTTGGGCAGGTTATATAGCCTCTATAAGTCTTAGTTTCCTCATCAGTTGCAGAGATGATATACATCCCTAGAGAATCTGGAGGCACTAAATGCGATCATGTGATGATACAGTGCTTGACTGAGAAAAGATATTCCATCAATGGTAATAATTACATGTATATGAATATACATCATGAGCAATTAACCATAGTACCTCCTGTTATGGACTGAATGGTGTCCCCCAGAAATATGTGTCAGCTTGGCTAGGCCATGATTCCCAGTATTGTGTGGTTGTCCACCATTTTGTGATCTGATGTATTTATCCTATGTATTGTAACTCCTAACCTCTATTATGTTAATAAGGCAGGATTCAATCTGCAGGATTAGGTTGTATCTTGAGTTAATCTCTTTTGAGACATAAAAGAGAGATGCGAGCAGAGAGAATAAGGACCTCATGCCACCAAGAAAGAAGCGCCAGGAACGGACCACATTCTTTGGACCTGGGGTCCCTGCACTGAGAACCTCCCAGACCAGGGGAAGATTGATGACAAGGAGCTTCCCCCAGCACCTACAGAGAGAGAAAACTTTCCCCTGGATCTGGCACCCTGAATTCAGACTTCTAGCCTCCTAGACTGTGAGAGAACAAGTGTCTGTTTGTTAAAGCCATCCACGTGTGGTATTTCTGTTATAGCAGCACTAAGTAACTACGACATCTCCTATAGCAGTCAGCTGAATGAAGTGTAGCTCTAAACTAGTGACATTGATTTTTAAAAACATAGCAGAATTCACAAATGCAAATGAACAGTAATTGTACCTCCTCCCCCCACCCCCCGAAACACTGAGTCCTGTCCCCTCTGGCCCATTCAGGGACTTCCTGCCTGCAGTTGTCCCCTCTCTGTCCTGTGTCACTGGTCCTTTTCTCTCCACCTCATCCTTACCATCACCACACAAACATGGCTCCTACCCTATAAAAACTTAACTTGACCCCCTCATCTAGCTCCGGCTTATTGTTATTGTTGCTGTTGAGTCAACTCTGACTCATAGCGACCTTACATATAACAGAATGAAACATTGCTGGGTCCTGCGCCATCTTCCTGATCGTTAGTTTGTTTGAGTCCATTCTTTTGGCTATTATGCCAATCCATCTTATTGAGGGTTTCCCTCATTTTTTGCTGACTCTCTACTTTACCAGCCATGGTGTCCTCTTCTAGTGATCGGTCTTTGCTGATGATGTGTCTGAAGTAAGAGAGTAGAAGTCCTCACCATCCTTACTTCTAAGGAGCATTAGCGTGTATTTCTTTTAAGATTGATTTGTTCCTTCAAATCATTTCTGTCCAGCTAAGCTCCCTCTTTAAAGCAAACCTCCTCCCAAAAGTGACCTGTACTCTCTGTCTCTACTTCATCTCTCTTGAACCCACTCCAATCACACTTTTGTCTTCAACTCTCACCTCAGCTGCTCTTGTCAAGATCAGTCATACCCTCCACAAAATCAAAGACTGTGGTCTGTTCTCAGTCCTCATCTTGACTCTTCCTTCTTCGCTCACAGCTTCTACTAGGCATTGAGGACACTCTGCTCCCTGGTTCTCTCCCACCTGATAAGGGCCCCTTCTCTTCTTCCTTTGTTTCCCTTCTCCCCAATCTGAATCCCCAGGGTTCAGTTCTTGACCCCTTCTCTTTGCCCTCTATAAGTGGTCTTCCCAGGGAGAGGGCAGCAGGACTGAGGGCATAAGCGACTAGGCAGGGAATCCAGGTTCCCCCTGGCATCCTAGTGTGCCTGGACAAGATGACACTCCTTGGGGGCACACATCCAGTCACCCCCTGCTCTCCAGAGTCAGGAATCCAGGGAAGAACCTGAGGATACTGCAGGGGTTGAGGGTGGGAAATGGAAGCCTCCAGAAGAAGATGGCAGCCTTAACAGAGGAAGATGGCAGCTGCCTCCCTGCCTTGCGGACCCACCTCAGCTGCCTACCAGCCCTCCTTGTGCCCACCTTATGTGGTGTGTTGACCATGGCAACGTTGTAGCCATATTGGAAAGCAGAGCCAAAGGCAGCGTGGGCTGGAGTTGCTGTGGGAGTCAAGAGCCATGTTCAGGTACTCTGCAGGGCTGGCCCTGTTCAGGTTGGGCCCCAGGATTCCCAGAAATGGGGCCATGGCTGGGCCTCCATTTTCCTCCAGCTCAGACCATAAGTGAGGCAAAGGGGAGCCCAGGCCATGCCCAGGGACGGTGAAGGAGGTCTCTGGGCAGGGAAGGCATTCTAAGGCTGGGGACCCTCAGGGCTCTGAGATGTCTGGGAGAGGGGTGGATGGCATTATTTCCATTTCTCTGGCCGTGCATTTATTCTTTCCTTGAAGATATATTTGAGCACCTATTATGTGCCTGGCCTTGTGCTAGGGGATGCCACAGGGAAGAGGCCCAGCAAAGCACTGCCCTCATGGAGCTTACATTCTAGTGAGGGGAAAAAGACAAACATACAATAATCCCAAATAGTGACGTTGCTAGGGAGACAACAAAACAGAATAATGGAATAGAAACCAGTGGGAGGCCATTTTCAGCAGGGTGGACAGGGAGGGCCTCTCTGAAGAGGTGCCCTTTGAGCTGAGACCTAAATGACCAGAAGGAGGCAGCTGTGTGGAGGGTCTGGGGAAAGAGTGTTCCAGACAGAACAACAGACAGAGGCCCTTAGGTGAGACGACACACACAGCCTGTTCTGAGGCCCACTGGAAAACCTTTCACTGGGCTCACTGTAGCATGCTTTGCTGGTTGCCACAGCACCCAAAGGCCGAGGAAGGAGCGGCAGAAATGAGGTGGGGCCTGTGGGTCACCTGTACATTGCTGCCTCCCAGAGCTCCACCCAACCAGCTGGTCCAGAGCCAGGGGCCCTGGACCAACCCCCACACTCCTCTGCTTGCCTGTTATAACTGTGTATCCCCACTCCTACCACACTCCCAAGCCCATCACACCCTCACACCCCCATGCATACCCCCCACCCATACCCCACC